GTGGTTATATTGTATGATTAAGCTACAGGGGAACATTTCTTACATCAATACCAGTTATTGAATGAACTCAATATTATTTAGAATTTTGCTTACAGGTAATAAGAAAGATGTATCAACAAGAGCACAAAATTTTTTTTTCCTGGTGAATTGTCCACCCAACAGTAACTTTCTGAAAGCTTCCTTCATGCCCTCGTTCCTCAGACTGTAGATAACAGGGTTGAGTGTTGGGGGAGTGACTGTATAAAAGATAGAAATCATAAGGTCAAAAGCAGTTGGAGAATCTGAAGTTGGTTTTAGAAATGCAAACATACCTGTGAAAACATAAAATGCGACAACAAAGAGGTGGGGCAGGCAAGTAGAGAAGGCCTTGGATCTGCCCTCAGTAGAGGGTATTCTTAATACTGTGGAAAAGAACTGGATATAGGAGAGGACAATGGAGATGAAGCCAATAAATCCCAGCACAGGCAGGAAAGTTGTTACACCAATCACTCTGAGGTAATCATCAGAACAGGACAGCTTTAGCAACTGGGGGATGTCACAGAAGAACTGGTGGATTATTTTGGGTTTACAGAATGTGATAGAGAATTTGGTTGTTGTGAACAAGATTCCAGAGATGTTTCCATTTAGCCATATGGCTATCACAGCCCTCTGACACGTCCTAGGATTCATGATGACCTCGTAATGCAATGGGAAGCAGATGGCTGCATAGCGGTCATAAGACATCACTGTTAGAATGGCCATCTCAGACCAAGCCAAAGATTTGAAGAAGAAAACCTGGAGTATGCACTGACCTTGAGAAATATAGCCATCATCCATCAGAGAATTGTCAATGGACTGGGGAACTGTTACAGTGATGAAGGAGAGATTCAGGAGGGAAAGCTGTTTTAAGAAGTAATACATTGGGGCTTGGAGATGCTCGTCCACTGTGGTGATGATGATAATGATGAGGTTACCTGCTAAGGTTAATAAGTACACTGCCAAGAACAGCAAGCCATGTAAAATCTGTAGCTCCCGAATGTCAGAAAACCCCATGAGGAGGAACCCACTCAATGCGGTTAAATTTACTATGATCATTTTGAAGAAATTGTGGTGGAAGCTAGAAGAACGAAGAATATGAAAAAAAACACAGTAGAAAAATATTATTTCCTTTCATTTATTCTCATCATTTCCTAAAGCGATGATTTATTAAGTAACTGCCATATATCAGCAATGTTTCCTTCTATTGTGCATAGGGTTAGTGTGAGTCGCTACCAACTTGATGGCAGCTAACAACAACAACATACATCAGCTATGTCCTAGATGTTTATGATCCAAGCTTATAGCGAACAGCCTGTAGCAGTAAGCCAGTAGTTATAGGTGATTCCATTGTGCTAAAGCAACTGGTCCTGTCACAGAAAAATAGTTACATTTGCCCCACAAAAAAACCCCACTAATGACACTCATTTGTTTAATTAACAAACAAAATACAAAAACAGTGATCAGCTGTTGACTACAGATTGCTAGAACTGGATGAGTTGTGTTTCTTAATAGTATACCATCTTATTTTAGCAGAAAGAATTAGTAGCCCTCTAGAGAAAATAAAGTATTGGGCACTGAAATAATGGATTCATTGGCTGGACTGGGTAATTGCTAAGGTCCTTTCTTGCCAAATAATTTTATCCTAGGGAGAACCACTATAACTGTGCTAAAGCTGCTGTAACCATTTTGCCTGTAGATAAAGGCAAAATTGTGTCCTAGTCTCATTCTTCCAATTAATATCTCATGTAATGAAAGTCTTATCAGAATGAAGAACAAAATCATTTCTGCAAAAAAACAAAAAAAAAACAAAAAAAACTTACTTATCACTCTCAGTTTCAGTGTTCAATTTCCTGGAAAATTTTTTTGCAATCCAAATCAGCTATCTCCTTGAATCTTCTTTTCATTCACTTTCTCTTGCCTTGATTTGCAACATCAAAAGAGAATCTTACAAGGAATAAACTGAAAATATTTCTGAGAATGGAGATATCAAACTTTGATTCATTGTCCAGTACTTTGGACTTTGTAGAAGAAAAATAATCATGATACCTTCTTTAAGGGACTGAAAACCAAACTTAACTGCCTTTTAGTCAATTTGGTCCCACAGTGACCCTATAGGACAGAACAGAACTGCCCCATAGGGTTTTCAAGATGGAATTATTTATGGAAGTTGACCACCATATCTTTCTCCAGAGGAGAAACTGGTGGGTTTAAATCTTTGGGTTAGCAGAAAAATGCTTAAATGCTGCATCCCTACAACCCATTTACATTTATGAGAACTGATACAACA